ACTTTTTGTTAAACTTGGTATTTATATCTACTTTTTGTTTTATTAGTATTAGTATCTATTTTCATGTGTATTTATGTAGTGGTATTCTAAATGTTAAAAAAATTAATTATAGTACGGAACCGAACCGAATCCGAATGGTTCCAAAATTATATTTGGAACCGACGATTCTATTTACTAACCCTTCGTTTGGTACATATTTTGAAGGTAAGAATGCATTTTTATTGTTGATGTAATAGGGAATATGTGGTTAAAAAAGAATGAAAAGTTATTGATGTGATGAAAAATATTATTTTATTAAAGAATGTGTGGTTGAAAATGAGTAGAAGAATAAGAATAAAAAAAATAATATGGACCAAACAGGGCCTAAATACTCGAAAATTTCTGAAATCGAATAAAATCGAACCGATCTGCGCCCACCCCTATTATCACCCCTCCACATCATAAAAGAGTTTTAAAAAATGTCTTTTCACACGTTAATACAAAAATATTGACACATTCTTCGTTCTCTTATTTTTGTTTTTAGAGTGGCACGTATCTATTCCGTAGAAAACCAATTACAATATGACTGTCAAATAAGTACTTTATTTCAATTTGAGAAATGATAAATGTGTACGTAGTGATTTTTACTTGAAACTAAATTGATGTTCCACGATCCAATTGAGAAAAATTATAATAATCACTCAATTGAGATCATGCCAAATAAAAGAGTGTACTACCCCACCACCCACCCACCCACGAAATGTCCTACCATTTCTAGATTCTAAAATGGACCCCATTCTTTTGCAATTAGTGGCTACAAATAAAAGAGTGTACTACCCCACCCCACCCACCCACCCACCTACCAGATGTCCTACCATTTCTAGATTCTAAAATGGACCCCATTCTTCTTTTGCATTTGCATCCTCCATGGAGGTTAGGATTTCAAGACAAGTTCATAATGTTGTCAAACATTAGCATCGTCCCAAATGTCATGCATTAGGGGAACAAAATATAGGCGTGGCAATGGATTGAATCTTGTCGGATATAAGTGTGGCAATGAATTGAGCATAGTGGGATATATTAAAACTTGAGGTTATATTTTGTAATGTCAACCAGTGAGATGAGTTACTCCAATTCATAAATCTTTGTCTATATTTTGATAATTGATCAACGTGGGATTTATTTCTTGACATGTTCTAACAATATGACGACTCGTTTGAACATATCAATTTTGAAATTTGTGTACTCATTTTTTAGTCTTAATCAGATTGAATTATTCATTGAAATTTATAGTTTGTTTGTTTGGGATTCTCAAATTCTACAGTAAATCAATTCTCATTTTCAACCACACATTCTTCAATAAAATAATATTTTCCATCACATCAATAATTTTTTCTTCTTTTTCAACCACACATTTCCCATCATATCACTATTTAAAA